TGGGTTAAGTCAATCACATCATTCTCCTAATGATGTGATCCCGTTAATCAAATGACAACTCATGTCTATGGTTAGGAAACATAACCATCTTTGATCAACGAGCTAGTCAAGTAGAGGCATACTAGTGACACTCTGTTTGTCTATGTATTCACACATGTATTATGTTTCCGGTTAATACAATTCTAGCATGAATAATAAACATTTATCATGATACAAGGAAATAAATAATAACTTTATTATTGCCTCTAGGGCATATTTCCTTTAGTGTGTTTCTTTCTTATAATGCGGTATTTTTAGGTCTTTTTCTAGGGGTATAATTATGTGTTATTTGCGAACTATTAGCCCACATTTACGCGGAGGGTTTCTTGCAGTGGTGACCACATGTATTATATTGGTGTTGCAATGTCACATGTTGGCATTTATTTTTTAAGGTGATGAGAGGGTGTGAGACTAATGCATTTTTATAAGCTTGTTGTTGTGGATTGATTTGAGAAATCATTGACCAGTCAAAATGACACCTCACTTGAATGAGAGAGCTCCTTGAGATATTGTTGACTAGGTCAAAAATTGGGAATTCAATCCAAAATCATATTGGTGCTACAGTGTTGCATTTTGACATTTATTTTTTGTCAGGTGATGAGAGCGTGCGCGAGACAGATATATTTTTATAAGCTGGTTATTGTGGATTGATTTGAGAAATCCATGGCTAGTCAAAATCGGGAAGCAAATTTAAAATTGAGCACCTCACTTGGATGAGTGAGCCCCTTGATTTCGTTTTTTTACCAAGTCAAAATTGGGGACTCAATCCAAAATCAGTGTCCTCAATTGAATGAGAGGTCTTCAACCCTAGGAAACTTAGAAATATAGTAGATTAATATTTTTCTTGATAAACTTGATCGTATTTTAAATGGTTCGACTTAAAACAAAACAAATGAGCCATTTTTAGTGTATTTTCTGTTAAGTAGTATTAGAGATTAAAACCCACAATTTTGTGTGTAGCTGGGGAATACAAAAATTATAGCAGTTTGATATGTATATGTTTTATCATGTTGGCACCTGCAAGCTTCTGCGTAGATATTTATGTGTCTTGCACGTAAAACATACTAGGCCTGATATTTAACATCCAATTCTTTTCACGGGTGTGAATATAAAATAAGAGGTGGCGAGATCATAGTCGACTGAGACTTAATTGCATGCCCACGCGTCTACGCAATTACAATTGCATGTGCACCGGTCGGGCGCCCAAATCTCGCTGTAAGATACGATGAACATAGCATCTACAGAGACTTAATCAAGTCTAAGTCGCCAAAGTTAATTTTGGCAAACAGCTGTATGAATAAAAGAACACATGATGCTAAAACATCCTCTAGAACATGGATTTATTAGTGAAGTCCTGGAGATACACCGGGGTGAGTTATTATAGCACTAGCGTACTCTAGAACCTGGGTTTTATAGAGCCCAACTATGCATTTACGGAACAAATTACTGAGTTGGCTAGCAAGCTGGTTGGAGAACCACTTGAAATATGTGTTGCGTAGCCACGAAGTTTCTTGGCAGCTTCAATGATTTGAAACTGGCAAGATTTAAACCTTTTACTCTAATTAGATTCCCATACCCAAAGACTAATTAAAGAGCGTGTTCGTGTGGTTGAATTGACTAAACCCTCCGCTTGAAAGTGCTGGACACACATGGATGCACGCACCAGAAAACAAAGACAAAACTAAGTCAAAAGTTCAGACATGTAGATCCGTAGCTTACGCACACAAGAAGGGAAGAGAAAAGAACATTTTAGACCCTAACTAGACTAGACCTCATATAGAGGTTTTCAGCTGCATGTTTTGTAGAACTGAAAATTTTCTAGCTTCATTCTTAATAGTCTACGGACCTTGATGTAATTTCTGTTACTTTTGGTTTACTTTTACTGCTATGACAGTAGATGAATATATATGTAAATATTTGTAAAAAAAATACAGGGGTAAAAGGAAAAACAGAAATGTTGGAGCCGGCCGGCGAGACAAGCAGGATCTGTCCGTATCGCCGGCGATCACATGCCGCCACATGCGGTCCTCGCCTCGGCAATCGGCATCCCCGCGGCGTCGTCGTCGTCGTCGTCGCGCGCGTGCATGCATGTGCGCGCTGTAGCTACAGTACGGCACACACGTAAACTACTACTTACAAGAATTCTCGTGCAAAACAACGCCCTCTGCATCTTGTAACAGTGGTGGTGCACAGTAGCTAGTGTTCTTTACACTTCGCTCTCCTACTTGTCTACGTACGACGTCGACCAATGCCAGTGGGCGATATGCCTATTTCTATATGACACGCAACTGGCCCCGCATTGCCCCATTCCATGCCTAGCTAGCTTTGTTGGTTGTCTGCTCACTCAACACGGCCTAGATTGTGTGGCGTATGACGAGGAGCAGCTAGGTCGGCCTCTTTTCATGCTAGGGGTCATATAATATATACTCCCTCCGTATCTAAATATAAACATTTTTAGAGATTTTAATACGACTATGTACGGAGCAAAATGAGTGAATCTACACTCTAAAATACGTCTATATACATTCGTATATAGTCCATATTGAAATCTCTAAAAGCCTTATATTTAGAAACGGATGGAATACACAATGTTGCGAGTTTTCGTTCTTGCTGCACCATATCATAGTCACATTTACACTGTTTGCTTTTAGGTGATTAGGTTGGTAGCCACATTTACCATGCGGCTCGATTTCAAATGAGACCTGGTTGCACTTTTTGAATTGAATGAAATCATAGTCGACTTAGAGGTAGACGAACTACTATACACATTTTGCATAGTTGTTGATTTATCGAGTATAGCTGACATGATACCTCGACATAGTTAGCGGGTCGAGGGGCAGGATAGGGTCACTCTTTGTTGTGTGTGTGTGTGTGTGTTGGGGGAGGGGGGGTTGAGTTTGACGCAATATGTCCTCTAAATTAAGTGGAACTTTGAATGTATAGGAGCACTCTAAGAAAATGCTCTAAAAGATAAACAAACAAATATTTTATGTTGGGCCTTTTCCAAATTTTTGCAACAAAACTTGAAACTACAAAGTTAAAACAGGACAAACAAGAACAATGCAGTAGTCATGTACTACCCTCTGTAACTAAATATAACATCTTTTTTGATACTCCCTCCGTAAACTAATATAAGAACGTTTAAAATACTAAAATAGTGATCTAAACGCTCTTATATTAGTTTACAGAGGGAGTATTTAGTTAAAGAGGAGCAGTAAAAAAAATTTGAGTGGGAAGTAATATGTACTCCCTCTGTTCCAAAATAGATGACCCAACTTTGTATTAAAGTTAGTACAAAGTTGAGTCATCTATTTTGGAACGGAGGGAGTACTTGGGTAGGGAAGTAATATATACAATCAATAATATCAGCAAATTGACTAAAGACTGGTGATGGGAAACCTTGAAACAGATAGGAATCGAGACATTATTATTTTTTGCGGAAAGGAATCGGGGAAATTAATAAAATGTCGTCCTCTTTATATTTACCAAAAGGAGACCATCGAATATTCTTTCACTCTCCACATTGGAGCACAAATTTTGCCAAGATGTTATTTTCACGAATCCACACTTGCTGATCGAGACGAATCAATCCCACCGTTTGACGCCGAGCGATTCTTTGGAAGTCCGAAAGTGAAGGCAGGGGTATATCCGATCCCATCGACACCAAATGGAATTAATTTCATGCCTCGCATTAAGCGACGTGCGATCTATCCATCCATCCTTTCAGAGTTTCTATGGCACGCAGGTTCATTGAACCTGGACGCCTTCTACCACTTCCAAAACCACGTCCAGGTCCATTCGGAAAGCCGGCAGAAACCCTGGGCCGGTTACTGCCTTTGAGCCTTTGACACGGCACGTTGAAGTTTTTCCCAAGATAAAGAAAATGAGCCTTGTGTCAGTTTCAAAAAATAAAATAAAAAGTGAGCCTTGTGATGGCAGTTTCGTACACCTCGGAAAGCGTGCTGGGCCGTTGTTTTCTGCTGGCCCGCGCGCGCAAATGGACGCAAAGGTGCCGGTGTCCGCGTCAGCGGCGGACACCGTGACACGAGTATCTAAACGGAATCGCTCCGTGGCAGACAAGTCGGAATGGCCCCGTCCGATGCACCAGCTGATGATGAAGGGCGAACCTCGACGCACCGATGATGCGGACCGTGGGGCTTGTCCTGTGCGCCTAAATGCACACTCAGCAAAAACTCAGTGCTACCAACACACACAAAGAGAAAGAGAAAGAGAAATAACCAAGAAATAGTTGCCAATTTTCTCTTCTGTCAATGCCACTACACTGTCAATACGTTTTGTTTATTTTGTTTATTTATTTTCGCTCAAGCAAAATATAGTTTTTTTTAATGTATGGTACTGCCAGTGCACACCAAGCAAAATGTGAGTGTTACGAAAACAGAAAAGAAAAATAACGAAGAAATGGTGTAGGAGCAAAAATTTCTCTTTTGCCACTGCTACAGCACTGTCACTGTGTCACACACACAATCGCTGGAAGGAAGTACTACTACAGTACTCCCTCCGATCCATATTACTTGTCGCTCAAACGAATGTATCTAGACGTATTTTAGTGCTACATACATCCATTTGAGCGACAAGTAATATGGACCGAAGGGAGTACGTAAATTAATTGGTCGCGTGGATTGAGCGGTCAAAACGGGGAGAAAATTAACCCCCAGAGAAGACGGCGGAGACTAGGGACGAAAAGCGAGAAGGAAATGATTTGAACCGGCCCGTGATGCGCTCGGGAGGGAGAAAAACGGCAAACCGCGCGCGGTAAACCGGAGTTACTGTGGCGCGGCACGGGAGAAACGGCTTTAAATACGGCCCCCTCATCTCCTCCCCCACAGCGAGCCAATTTAGCCAGCCAGCCAGCGAGCGAGCGCAATCCCTAGCGCCGAGGCCCATTCCCCCGTCGTCCTTCCCCGCCCATTCCACGATCCCTCGGCCGCGGTCGGGTCGCCATGGGAATGGGGCCGCTCGAGAACGCCGCCGCCGTCGTCGAGGGCGGCGTCGCCGCCCCGGTGGTGCCGGTGGTGACCGCGGCGGCGGCGGGAGGGGGGTCGTACGCGCTGCTGCAGTGCGGGGAGGACTCGGCGTACGTGCGGGACGCGTACGGGGGCTACTTCGAGGTGTTCCGCGCGCTGCTGGCCGAGGACGGCGAGCGCTGGCAGGTGTACCGCGCCGTGCGCGGCGAGCTGCCGTCGGAGGAGGACGCGGCGGGGCTCGACGGGTTCGTCATCTCCGGCAGCTGCAGCGACGCCCACGGCGACGAGCCCTGGATCCTCGCCCTCGTCGACCTCATCCGCCGCCAGCTCGCCGCCGGCAAGCGCGTCCTCGGCGTCTGCTTCGGCCACCAGGTGCGTCCCTCCGTCGATTCCGTCGTTGGATTTCTTGGTTTGGTCGGCCTCGGCGTCTGGTCCGGAGGGTAGGATGGTAATTGAGGCCGCGCCCTCGAGCTGGCCGGCCTTGTTCTTTCCGTGTGAGGTCGAGCTGGTGGGCTCCGAGGTTGGCGCCTCGCAATCGGACAGGCCGCACCGGCTGAGAGGAGTGGCGCCCTTCTAGGGCCTTCCATGCTTCTCCCATTTTCTTTACCACGCACTCGTCCGGTAAAACCAGCAGGGTAAACGTAAAAACACACGCTGATTCTCAGCGAGAAATGCAAAATGTTTTTGAAAGCGCTGGCACGAAGCTCAAATCTCAAGTAGAAAATAATTCAACTGGTAGACATTCACGAGGTTCTCTTAGTTTGAACTTTGAAGTAGATCAGAGGATCGATGCATCTAGACCGGGTAAAAATAAGTTTTGGGGCAACACAAAGCTACTTTTTTTAATAAACTTTGTGTCTGTAAATACACATTCGTAACTTGCTTTTACCAAGTGTTCATTCATGTATCGTTAAATAAAAATTAACTCAACAGGATTTGACAAGAGTGCAAGCAGAGCGAGATCTCAGCGCCCGTGGCCAGGAATCCCCCGGGAGCCACCAGCTAAGATTAATGACGTGCACTCCGGCTGGCTCCTCCGACCAAGCACGTGACGTGGCAGCTTAGATAGAGGTTAACAGCAATCCTGTCTATCCACGTGGGCCAACGTGGCGTTGCCCGCCACTTGTGCCGTTAATCAAGCATCTTCCCCATTGCTACCCACACCCAGTCAGCCAGCGCGCCAGTTGCACATTTGATTAGATTACCGCCGAGAGCCGCAGCCTAATTGTTCTGCTTGTTTGTTTGAACATTTGAAATGCTGCAACTTGCAAGCAAGCTAACATTTGAAATGATGCATCTAACTAACCGACTGACCCTTTCGAACCGACTGACCCTTTTGGCGTGCGAAGCCACAAGGACATGTCGGTGACGGGGCCATCCGGGCTTGGAAACAAATTTCAAGGAAATTTGGTCAAGGTCGCCTTCTTATACCCCTCCTGGCTGAATGTGTCGGCTGTTGCCTGTTGAGGGACCTGGCCGCCCCTCTCTATGATCCAAGAGGCGATCTACCGGGTAGGGAAGCTCGTCTTGGGTTGCAGCTCTTGGATAGCATTTATTCTAGCCGTCAAACTAATTTCCAATCTGTAGAATATTACTACTAGGACGAGCCCTGACCTCACCGTAGAGATGTTCTAAAGAAAAGTTTAGACTTGGGACGCAATTATACGGTGTACTTGTACGATGCAAAAGTCAGAGCTCCCTTCCCGGAGCCGTACAAGCCCAGCCGTCGAGTGGGGCATGGGCTCATGGCATGGCATGGCATGTTCGCGACAGCTGCTAGTGCAAGACCTGAATTCTTTTCTCCCATTGATCGAGTAGTACGATAGATGATGTAACTGCACTGATGCATTGGTTGCCCATGATTCACGGTCGCTGAACGCTTCTGTCAGAAGAAAACGACGCTGCTTAACCCTGAAAATAATGGCTCCAATCGAAACGGGTTGGGTTGGGATGCGATCTGCCGGCCGGGTCCCGTACTAGCAGTCTCTTTCTTCCTGCAAATGATGAATGTTGGCATAGACAGCGAGCGGTGAATTAACAGTAATTTTCTTCTTTGCATTGCAGATCCTGTGCCGGGCGCTGGGCGGCAAGACCGGGAGGTCCTGCAAGGGGTGGGACATCGGCGTCAGCTGCATCCACCCCACCGCCGCGGCGGCGAGGCTCTTCGCGCCCCTCAAGATGCCGGTGCACCTGCCCATCATCGAGTTCCACCAGGATGAGGTACACATACAGATTCAGATTTTTACTGTTTTGCTGCATGTCAATGTCGTTTTCAGTGTGCTGATGTTATGCTGTTCTTACAACTCTCAGGTGTGGGAGCTGCCTCCTCACGCCGAGGTGCTGGCCCGGTCAGACAAGACCGGCGTCGAGATGTTCCGGCTGGGCGACCGCGCCATGGGCGTCCAGGGCCACCCCGAGTACAGCAAGGACATCCTCATGAGCATCGCTGACCGCCTCCTCCGCCAGAACCTCCTCCTGGTAAACCTCGGCGCCGCTTGGTTTTTTTCTTCAGATACTTGAGTTGCAAGCGCCATTTCCTTATGTTTGAAAGCTAATCGATGGTTGTGTGTGTGCAGGACTGTCAGGTGGACGTGGCCAAGGCGAGCTTCGACGTGCGGCAGCCGGACAAGGAGTTCTGGAAGAAGGTGTGCAGGGGGTTCCTCAAGGGCAGGCTCCAGCCGCAGCAGCAGAAGCAGCAGCCGCCGCAGCAACATAAGCTTCAGCTATAGGAGTCGGAGGATGAGACGGTGGCGAGTCCGAGAAGAAGGCCGTCACCGGTGCCGCCGGAGGAGGAGGAGGAGGACGACATAGTAGCGTTACTGAGCTGGGGGGGTTGCCATTGCGAGCGTAGAATTAATCCTTATTTTTCTGCTTCGGAGTTTGACATCACCATCATCATCTTGTACAGAAACCCAAACCGCCTATCTAATCGAAGCATTAATAAAGAGCGATCGATGCTAATTTGGCAGCCTCTCGTTTCTGTTGGCGATGTTCTCTGCTCGGAGAAAGCTGTCTGTCGGTGCCTACTTTTGGATGTTGATGAAGAGGATGTTGGGATCGGACAAGGTGACGGCTCAACTGTCTTCAACAACAAGTCTGACCTCCGTGGAGGTTGGGGAAATGGAATGATCCAAGTCTAGCACTCTCGTGAAACTGAACCCCCTCCGGGACACGGATCAACAATCAGACCTGTTCGAATGTTCGTGGAAATTTGAACCATCAGTCAAAAGGAGAGAGATATGAGCGGGTAAACGTGGTTTAGCTGACAGTGGGCTGTGCGGATGTCAGAATTCCCCCAAAGCCCCCTGAGTTTGAGGATGGTTTGTGAGATTTCGGGTGTTGGGACTAGTCTACGGATATTCAGTGCGTTGAAGGCCTAAAAGTATCCGAATCGCCCGATCCTAGCATTTTGGAGATGCACCGAGGCATTTCTGTCGATGACACTTGTGCTGGAATTGAGCTGCTCTTCTTATTCTATTCCCTCCGTTCCAAATTACTCATCGCAGAAATGAATGTATCTAGAACTAAAATACATTTAGATACATTCATACCTGCAACAAATAATTCGGAACGGAGGGAGTACATGTGTTGTGCAGAAATTGAGCCGTGTCCTAACATCGACGGTCCACGCCGAACTTGCAGGCATCAGTACCGATCTGCCGGTGGCCACGATTTGCACGACCGGCCAGCTGACAGTGGCTCGAGAACACTACTGCTACCGAATTTTCGCCGACTGCCACACATTGTTTGCAGGTAGGATGAGCGTCCAGGTTCAGTGAACGGCAGGCACTTGCTGTGCCGTGATGCGGTGCTGCTCAACTCCGGTGATGTGGGTAGAGGTCGCCGTCACGCTAACGGCGGAGCTGCCTGCCTCTTGCGAGTTGCGATCTGCAGAGGTAGAGGACAGCGACCCTTCGCTACCTTCGACTTGGGATATAAGATGTGACATGCACGGAGCCGACTTGTCAACAGCACACGTTTGAGTTTTATACTACCCAACAGCTGACTTATCAATAGCACCGGAAGTCCTGGAACTTGTCCAGAATGTAATGATTTAGTCCAAAACTTGAGAAAGCAAATTATTTCATCCTACAACTTGTATTTAATGTGCAAATTTGGTCCTATCCAATCAGACGACGACGGTGGAGCCAAGTCGGCACAGCCCACTCCATCCGGTCAGCGCCGCACCTTTTGCAATTACCCCCTGGCCTTAGCACTGTTAGAAATTTAGGATTTGCGGTCTACCCCCTAATTCCTCTGCGCTTATCCGTGGTGCCGCTCACAATTCGCATCTCTGAGGCTAGGGGGTAGGGACCTTCTTATATTGTTTTTCCAAAGAGTCCACCTCTTATACAGATATAAGATTCCTAGTCTTTTTCACTAGTTTCCGGGATAGAGTCCAGATCAAATTACCAACCACGATCATATTTGTCTGTTAATGGATTCTACCCGTTATGTCCCCGGAGCACACGCTTGTGAGCAACGCGCCATAATAGAGTGTAGATTCCTCTAGTTACGTAGATCAACATTAGGGCTGTAATCTAACTATACGATCTAGCTCCTTTCAATTATCAGTGTACCCGGGTAGCCTTTTCAATATAAATGATATATTGTATTCCACTGATAATCGACCAGCTTCCTTAAGCATATAACTTAAGTACGTTTCAACAAGTGATAATTTTCCATGCTAAACATGTAAAACAATTCCATGTACAAGTACATGTATAATTCCATAATGAGGTATTCCGAATATTTAACAATTCCAAGTAATTTGAATATAGTTGCTGGACACATAATTCCAACATCTCCCACTTGTCCAAAACGATCATTCAAATATTCGTAAACCCATAGCCTTAACATACTTGCCAAATACCTCCTGACTAAGAGGCTTAGTCAAGGGATCAGTAATCATATTAACACTATGTTGAAAACCCACAAATATATATACGGTGATACTTCCCTTCAATATGTTTTCTTGCTGTGACACTTATGATCACTAGAGACCTTTAGTTTCCGCCTAATTGTTCCAGCATAGCTGTCCTCGGCGCCTCGAGTATTATTTCCTCGAGTGTGATTCCACCTTTGTAGGCACCTTGAGTATTTTGTTTCCTCACGTGAAATTCCGCATCAATTATTTTTCATCACATATATAATAATATGATTAATTCCACATCGAGTCAAGTATATGATAACCACGTTGAATAAATTTTCAAAACCACATAAATATCAAATCCAAACAGTAAATGAAGTTCCATAATTAACCATGTTTTGAAAGAAATTCCTGACTTCGGTTAGTGAACCTGCACCATATTAGTACTACAACAAAAAAAACTGAATATGTGTACCTGGACTTATTTTTCATCTTGTAGATAGAGTAATAGCTTCCTCAATGTGTTTACCTTTAATATAAATTTCAGAATAAATGACAGGTTGTGATGCACTTTCCACAATCTTATATGATGTGTGAGATTCCCTTAGCTGCTCATCTTTCATTCCACTGCTTGAATGCAGCATAAATTCTGGTAGCTAAGGTATAATAATATAATGAAGATACATACGAATTCCAGTACCATTTATTATTCTATTTTCCTCGGGAGTTTAAATATAATTCCTCAATGAGTATGATTCCCTTTATCAAAGGTATTTTAAAAGATTTGCAACACTTCAAAATAGTTCGTTTGTAAATGACCGCCTTGCTTCATTTAGAAAGCCATATGACCTGCTATTCCATTGATGTGAAGCTTGTTATAAGACCATACATTAATATACTCAATTAGCAAACCATGTCTTTAGTTCCTCTTTCCCAAAATTCCAGGAGAAAGAGTTTCCACAAAGTATATTTCCCTCTGTGTGAATAATTGAATAATAAGAGTGACATTATAATAGTCCAGTGAGCCAAATATCCTTACAAAAAAATCACTTCCAGACAATAGGCTTGCGGTTATTTGGTATGATATTAAGTTCCCAAACTATGCTCTTCCTCATTTGAGTTTATTCCTTCCTGCAATTTTTCCACCCATAGTTGACATTGATGAACAAACCTTCTGAAGAGAATTTAGTAATTCCTCTAGAATTTAGAGTGACTTCCCCAAAAAAGCATATAACAATTGTCAAGAGATGACATTCCAAGTTAATTCTTCCCACTTATCCTAAGCATGTTAGTGTCGGGAGTTTCACTTGTAGTTTCCTTTGTGGTCAAGATTATATTCCAGTATGATTGTTAATATTCCCACCGTTGACCATAAAAATAATTTTTTTTTACTTTCCACCAGTATTCTTTTTCCAGATAGCTAAGGAAACACCCTTTGATCCACTAGAATAACCATGAAAAAAAATCCTGGTGTGCGCTTTGTAATAATCGATAATTTCATGCCAAAATAGAAGATTTCCTTCCAGTCAAGTGACTGTACTAGATGGAGAATGATATCAACAATTGACAGTATGCAATGCTTCTTTCCAAAGAAACAAGTGAGTATGCAAGACAATCAATTCCTCCATTATATTGTGGAGTGTATGGTATATTACAATGGTGAATAGTTCCATGCTCTTTACATACAAACGATATATTCCTGAAGTGTACTTCCCCCACCAATCAGTTGTTAAAACTATGATATTATTTGATCAACTGATTTTCCACTTCAGCATAACATGTGACTGGCACAATAAAACCTTCCGACTTGTATAATAAAAGATAAACATAACCATATAAAAGTGTAATCATCGAAGAGTGAGATGAAATAAATAATTTGACCTCTAGTGGGGATGTCCATAGAAATACCGTAAGTATATAAAAAACGATGTTAAGCCCTTTCATCTCCTTCCACCTTAATAAACAAGGTGTATTAAAAAAATCATATATGCTTCACATGTACCACAGTCCTCCCACTAAAGTTTAAAATTTCAGAATCAATAAGCCTCTTGATCCAGTTCCAAGATATGTTACCAAGTCGTTGATGATGTAGATAATAAGATTCCAAGCATGTGTTCCCATTGTCGATATTCCTCCATGTGGAGTTATCTTTGCCAAACATAAACAATTTGGTTTGCCAACTTCCAATGGACATCAAGAAGGATGTATCATTGTGTGAAAATCAAAAAATGCACTAAGTTAACCACTGAGCAATATTTCCACTCTTCCTTTTCCAAATACTATGTCATAATCAATAGATTCCAAGACGGGGCAATAAATTAAATCCCTTCTCATTGAAGTTAAATAACATGTCCTATAACAACAATAGTTTTCCTCCACAAGGGAGTTTGATGGCATATTTTCCAATCCAAAGTACATCAAAGTTAGCATTAATTCCCAAGTTCATCAATTTTCCGTTGGAATTGTTCTATGCCAACTCATTGTATTCCAATAATATATGAGGTATATATAAAAAAACACCATAATCCAACTATTTGAAAAAATAGCCCCAAATATATACCATTAATAGACATACCAACAAATGAAGATCAAATTTCCTTGTCCTTGGAGTGACTCTCATTTTCCTCCATAAATTAGTGATGCCCAATAATAACACTTCCATGAATTCCTTTTATGCAAAGATGGCATAATTACCACAATTTTCCTTCACTTCCTCTTTGCCAGTTCCATCGATAAATATTATGTTTTCCTCTCCAAGGTGTAGTCAACAATATTTGACCAAAACCATCCCCTGAAAGTTGTCTATATTTCTCCTTTGAAAAAATAGTATCTCATATGCATATACTTAACAACAATTCATGATGACAAGTGTATATAAATTATTCCAATCAACTTGGCATAGAGTTTAGGACAACCATGACTTGCACTTCCCAAAATAAACAAATATAGCCATAAAACCTATATCTATATTTTCCGAGAGATACCCCACCCCCCACCCCCCACCCCCAAAAAAAAGGTCTTTCCAATTGCACATTATTTTCCTTGCAATTTATTCACAATCAGATTAAACAGCCAAACAACAATAGAATGATCCCGAAAAATATGTTAGTCATTTGCTATCCATATTCCATGTGTCATATTATATATTTCCTTTTCCTTAGCAATGCTTGCTGTTCCGGTTTGTTTTGTCTAATAATGTGATCAGAATTCCACGTAGAAAATATAGCACAACTATGTTTTTCCAAACCGTGATAATATGAGCCATCAAATACGTGGGGGAATAAAAAAACTTTTGACGTCTGCCAAGGTAAAGTGTTACCGTGTGCGGAGGAGAAAAAATGACAAAGCAATTCATGAAAACCGGGCGTGCAGATCGTTGAGGTATACGGACTGATGCGTGTTATTTATTTTGCTCGATCTGCATGAAGTTAGGGAATAATCAAAGCAACAACTAGGTGTACCTCGATCTCCCTGCAAGAATTAATAGTACGGTGGCTCAAGTTTGGTTTCCACTCTCCAAGGTTCCTCGATGACGCGCGGGCAGAGCGTAGTTGGGACGGCGATGACGGCCGGGAACATCACAGACACTTGGGAGGAGACCGCTGGCACGGGCAAATCTGACGAGTACGTCTACAGACTCCAGTTGATTCACGTGTGGCTCTTGATTTCGATCATGGCTTGAACTTGCCACCAATCGTAGTTTTTCCGAGGAGCAGTCGTTCCGCGTATGGCACGTACGTTACGTTCCAAATTCCGATCGTGTGCAAGTTTCCGACGGCGAGTAGATTTGCACGAATAAATAAATGAGCTCCATGCATGGTCCCGGCCATGAGCCACCTACATGGTGTCCTTTGCGTAGCATGCATGGATCAGCTTGACGAGAGGCGCAACAGGAGGGGCGCCGCGTGACCACTAGATGCAGGCGGACCAATGGGCCAAAGCACACAGCAGGACAATATCGACTAGGGGCGGCGCTCCGGTAGAGTTTGCAGCGGATTAAGGGCCTCGAGTGACGACCATGTCGGCAGAGTCGCACGGCGGACGAACCTCGCTCTGGTACTAATGTTAGAAATTTAGGATTTGCGGTCTACCCCTAATTCCTCTGCGCTTATCCGTGATGCCGCTCACAATTCGCATCTCTGGGGCTAGGGGGTAAGGACCTTCTTATATTGTTTTTTCAAAGAGTCCATCTCTTATACAGATATAAGATTTCTAGTCTTTTTCACTAGTTTTCGGGATAGAGTCCAGATCAAATTACCAACCATGATCATATTTGTCTGTTAATGGATTCTACCCGTTATGTCCCCGGAGCACGCGCTTGTGAGCAACGCGCCATAATAGAGTGTAGATTACTCTAGTTACGTAGATCAACATTAGGGCTGTAATCTAACTATACGATCTAGCTCCTTCCAATTATCAGTATACCCGGGTAGCCTTTCCAATATAAATGATATATTGTATTCCACTGATATTCGACCAGCTTCCTTAAGCATATAACTTAAGTACGTTCCAACAAGTGATAATTTTCCATGCTAAACATGTAAAACAATTCCATGTACAAGTACATGTACAATTCCATAATGAGGTATTCCGAATATTTAACAATTCCAAGTAATTTGAATATAGTTGCTAGACACATAATTCTAACAAGCACAAATAAACCCACGCCTCTTCGGTCTCACCGCTCCACCAACTGAGGATGGACAGGCGAGGAAACCCAGCAGTCAAGGCAAACACTGGGAAATGGAAATCTTCCATCCCGCTGCTAGGTAAAGCCTTGTTTATTTGATGTTGTTCTTCGATCATATGCCACAGACAGTCTGTTTTTGTCAATGAGTTAACTTGATCTGGATTCTGATCGAGATTTCTTGTGCTGTTGATGATGATGCAGTTAACTATGCGCTTGTAACGTGCGCCTTCTTCGGCGTCGGGGTGAACCTGGTGGTGTTCCTCCGGCGGGTGCTCCACCAGGACAACGCCGAGGCGGCCAACAACATCAGCAAATGGACCGGCACCGTCTACATCTTCTCCCTCATCGGCGCCTTCATGAGCGACTCCTACTAGGGCCGCTACATCACCTGCGCCATCTTACAGATGATCTATGTCACGGTATGCAGCTCAGATCGGTCGTAGCACAAAATCATTTTTGTTTGGATTGGTTGCGTGTGTTGTTCTGATCTGAACTTGTGATACTGTCACTGGCGTCGTGGTTCCTGCTGATGAAGCCCACTGGGTGCGGCGACGTGGAGACGCACTGCGACCCGCCGTCGACGGCGGGGGTCGCTCTCTTCTACCTGTCGACTTACATGATCGCGTTCGGCAACGGCGGGTACCAGCCGTCCATCGCCACGCTGGGCTCGGACCAGTTTGACGAGACGGACCCCGACGAGGCGCGCTCCAAGGTGGCCTTCTTCAGCTACTTCTACCTGGCGCTCAACGTGGGCTCCATCTTCTCCAACACGGTGCTGGTGTACTACGAGGACGCCGGGCAGTGGGTCATGGGCTTCTGGGTCTCGGCGGGCGCGGCGGCGCTGGCGCTCATGCTCTTCCTCCTCGGCACCCCCAACTACCGCTACTTCAAGCCCACCGGCAACCCGCTCACCCGCATCGCGCAGGTGCTCGTTGTCGCGTGCCGCAAGTGGCGCGACCACGCGCCCACCTGCGACGAGCTGCTCCACGCCTCTAGTGGTGAGATCGAAGAGGCGCGGGTTTATTTGTGCTAAGGCCAGGGGTAATTGCAAAAAGTGCGGCGCTGACCGGATGGAGTGGGCTGTGCTGACTTGGCTACACTTGTCGTCGTCTGGTTGGCTAGGACCAAATTTACACATTGGGTGCAAGTTGTAGGATGAAATAGTTTGCTTTTGCAAGTTTTGGACTAGATCATCACATCCTGCACAAGTTCCAGGACTCCTGGTGCTATTACCTCTTATTTGTACTCCCTCCGTCCCATAATATAAGAGGAATAGTTCTTTGTGCCGTGACTCCATGACAACCCAAACAAGATCAGGGATCTCTAACCGATCCCTTAAAAACAACTTCAAAAGATTTTTTTTGTTTCAGAAGTTAACCACATATAACCGGACCCTCAAATTGAATGAGTTAACTCCCAAACCCAGCTCAACTCTCTCAAATTTACTCGGACATGGCTACTTCTTGAAAAATCGGTCTCTCCCAACTCCCGCTCGAGGCGCCTCCTCTTCCTGCCACTGCCGCCACCGCGGGTACCGACTGTCATGGATCTAAGGCTGACAGTAGAATGGGGGGCAGGTATGAGGAGCCAAGATCCTAGCTATGGAGTAGTTGTACGCACGAGTTTTACGAGTCCATGCCATTTTCGAAGGAAGTAACAGCCCTACGTCTCGGTGCCCTGAGGTGGTCGACTGGATTATACGTGTGTGTGTTTACAAAAGTGTGAACCCTTGTCCCAGAGGAGGGAGGTGGTTTATATAGAGTGCGCCAGGACCCCAGCTCCCCTCCGTTACGTAGAGTTCAATGCTCATAAAGAAAAGGCATTAGAGGTAACGTCTACAGTAAATGTCATAAATGCTCATAATGCTATGGTTTAAGTCTTAACCGTTGCAGAGTGGAGGGTTCCTCATCTTCTGGTGGTCGAGTGTCTTCAAGGTGGTCGAGTGAGCGCATCTCCACGGTCGAGTGGATGATGATTTCTCTTCGACTGCTTCTGATTCTTTGTAAAGATGTCCTTGGGGAGGGTACGCTGGACAGGTTCATAACCCTACCCTAGGTACATAGCTTCATCATTAGCCCCCGAATGGATCAGGGTTTGAGTGAGGAAGGGGTCGAGAACACTTTCGACCCACTCTTTGTGCTATGAATATGCCTTGTCCTGAAACAATGAGTTAAGGAGACGACGTCGACTCCTTTCTCAATCGCCTTGGTCCATTCTTGGTTGTTGTCGAGTGAACTTTCATGGTTGAATTCCGAATGATGATGTAGAGGGTGTTTGTCTTCAGTCTGACAGGTTGTTCCGCTCTCCGCGGATCTTGCGGGATTCGAATTTTGGGAATCGCGCCAGACGGGAGGAAACGAGGTTATCGGGACGGATTAGGTAAGTCTCCTCGATCCCCGCGCCACCTTTTTCGCCACGTACTGCGCGCGACTGTTGCGGGATTTGTTTAGATCGCTTGGGTCCACTAGTCAGCCACTCGGTGGAAGGCCTTATAAAAGGTCTCGGGCTAGGCCTTTGCTCCGCACACCCCCATTCTCTCTTCTCTTTCTCTCGATCCCTCCGCCACTCTCGCTTCCGCCTTGTCGCCGGACCTCCGCTCGAGCTCGATCCGGCACCATGGGGAAGGACAAGACGGCAACGTTGGAACGCGCGAAGAAGGCGACCGCGAAGGCGAAGGGCAAGCGGACCAGCCGGGGCGGATCCTCGTCGAGGTCCGGCCTGCCGGCTGGCTGGATCCAGGGCGACTGGATCCGCTCGGCAATCACGCAGGACGACCTCGACGACCTGGTGGAGGGGGGGTTGATCCCCCACAAGTCGGCTCGGCTCCCGGGGGACGAAACTGAGCCGTAGCCTAAAGAGGGTGAGTGTGTCCTCTTAGCAACCCACGTAGATCGCGGATTCTCGCTGCCTCCCCACCCTTTCTTCCGGAGTTTTTTGAACTTCTTTGGGGCTCAGCTCCACCATTTCACTCAGGACACCATAGTCTATCTGGCCGCTTTCGTGTCCATGTGCGAAAACTTCTTGGGCTGTCGACCGCACTGGGGGCTTTTCAAACACATTTTCACTTGCCGTTCCCAGTCGGTTAAAAAGGCCAAGTCGAGTGACGAGAGGACGCGGGTGATCCAGATGTGCGGTGGTCTGGGGATCCAAATGAGGAGCAAGATTACTTTCCCAGTGATGATCCTTCCTGACTCGGTGCGGGGCTCGCAGTCGACTTGGTTTTACTGCAAGGATCAGCCAACCCCTGGCCAGTCGACTGGACTTCCTCCTTTCTCCTTGGCTCGAGTGGAGAAGCCTGCTCCCCTGAAGGTAGTTCCAGAAGAGAAGGCGCGGGTCAAGGAGCTGGTCGAATGGGTCGTCCAGCTTGTTCGCGACGGAGTGACCGGGATGGATCTGCTGGAGGTCTTTCTTGGTCGACGCATCCAACCTCTTCAGGCGCGCGACCATCCGATGTGGATGTACTCTGGGCTCGAAGATACCACTCGGATCCACCCGGAGGAGGTCAGCAAGGATATCTTGGAGAACTGGTTGAGGGGAATCACTGGCAACAAAGACAACCCTCGGGGATCCAGGAGGGTGATTCCATTCGACAACTCGCGCCGGCCAGAGCAGGTATATTTCTGTTTTATCAAGTATCTTTCCGATTCACCACGTGATGTCCCATTTGTGGTCGACTGAATGTCTTTTGATTGTTATCCTTTCAGGTCCTCATTGAAATGTACTCGATGCCCAACGGAGTGCAGGACCCCGGCGCTGAAGAAGAAGGGAGCGGGGGCGAGAGCGGCGACGAGCATTCGGAAGCCGAGGAGGACGAGGAGAGCGATGAATCGACCGATGAGGAAGAAGTCAACTCGCCTCCTCGCAGGGAGAGGAGGTCCAAGCACACTCATGACCCGGCACGCGCTCCGGACTTGGTGGCTGCGCCGATCGGGCAATCCTCGAAGCGCCCCAGGATGTCTTCCCCGACGCCGACTGAGAAGCCTCCAAAGCAATCCAAGGTCGCGCCGCTTCCAGCGCCGGAAGTGTCGAAAGCCATCTCTTCCAAACCGCCCAAAGCTTTGCCTCGGGTCAAAGTGACCGTTCCTACTATCTCCGGGTAACCATCTGACTTGTCCTTTATGTGGATTCAATTAACTGGATGTAACCGATTGAATGCGGGCCTTTGCAGTGATGCTACGTCAGGGACCTCTTCATACCAGTACCGGGACGAGGAAATGGAGGATGCGGTAACCTCTAACCCAGGTATGAACTCTTACGATTTCGATTCTTGATCCTTTTAGGGTCGAGTGGTTCACTTGGGGTCAAATGTTCTGTCTTGCAACTCCACCCAACATCATTGACCTTCCGGACGACGACGAAGATGTGGCTCCTAAACCTAGGAAGAGCAAGAAGGTAACAGCTGGCAGGGTGGCTTGGCAGGAACCAACTGCAACGCCTCCCGTCTGTCAGGCTGAGAATGCGGGCAGGGCCGCTGTGACATTCGCTGCACCCTTGCCGAGTGGGCACCCCATGCGGTCGACCGCGCCTGTGGTTCCTTCAACTATCCAACTCCACACCGCGGAGCCTCAAGCAGCTGCACCTGGGTCGTCTGCACATTTTTTCACCAGCTACCCCGTCCCAGACAACCAGTCGGAAGCGGCTGCGGAAGCCATCCGACAGGCTGATATGATGATGGAGCGGGTGAAGATAGTGCACGAGAGCAGTCAGGCTGCCTACGATGCTAGTGCCGCTCTTCGGGCCAACGTCGAGGTGAGTAGACTTTCCGACTGTTTTTGTTCTCAAAAAATCTTCTTCTGCACAATCTCCGGTTGTTCGCGTTGAATTAGAGCACCCACTGGGTGTTGCTGTCGTTTTTGGTAGTTTCGCTCTTCCACTCGGTCTGGGCGAGTGGGATCAGAACCGGTGGGGGCACGCCAAGTGCACCCATTGGGTGTAGTCCCCGAGTCCGCGGTCAACTGCTGGCAGTCGACTGTGGTATGATTTCTTCTTTTCTTGACGGCGCAATTGTTCTTTCTCTCTCTTTTTTTTACTCCTTGCACTCGACTCCGGCAGGCCGGGCGAGTGGGATCAGAACCGATGGGGGCACGCCAAGTGCACCCACTGGGTGTAGTCCCCGAGACCGCGGTCGACTGCTAGCAGTCGACTGGGGTCTGAACAGCTTGTTGTCCACTTCTTTAGGTTTTATTCTTTCGGAAATGAACTGCTTTCGAACCTATCGATTGACCTGTCTCTTGCCTTCTGCAGAAGTCTTGTACTCTTATCTCCAAGTTTGCCGAACTCGAAGAGAAGCAGAGGCAACTCAACTTAGACTTGGAATTGGCTCAGCAAAATCTGAAAAAAAGCTCAAGACGAGGCCGCTGGTATGGAAGGTAAC